ATTTTCTTGCTGAATGGAGTTACTTAATGTAGGAAGTAAAAGTAATAAAACTGAATAATGAACAGAACAGGTGAACCAACAGTTTCACCTACGCAGCCTTCTCTCTGGATTAGATATCATCACAGAAACTGGCATAAAGACACGTCCTTACTTTTTCCTGAGTGAAAAATCTGGCCCCACCGAAATGCCTGCTCCCGGATTAATCGGCAGAAGGATCTGACCAACTGGCACAGCCTTGCCTGTGTCACTGAAACCTCCTGCCGCTTCTCAGCTGTGGGAAGTAGATTAAACCCAACTCCTTCATTACGGCCCCCCTTGCGAGAGCCTCGATCGCACCCGCCCTGTGCCGGCAGCAAGCCAACCAGGGGGTTGGCGGCACCCGCAGAGCGGCGAGGTGGCACCTCGCCCTCAATTTACCTTTTTGACCTCATACTTGATGGCCAGCTTGACACGGCTCAGGGAGGCTCTGTGCCGCTGCGCTTCCACCGGCTCCGAGTTGAGGTCGCCGTTCAGGATGGCCTCCACTTCCTCCGAGTCGCGGCACAGGTCGAGGACGCCGACCACGAAGTCCTTGCACTGCATGGACAGCTTGCGGTAGTCGTTCTGAAATGATAGGGGGACAGAGGATGACACGCACTTAGGAGCCAGCGGGGAGGAAAGAAGAACCCCTGCGAGTCACTAAAAACTGACAGGGTTTGACGTTGGGAGCGCCTCACAGAATTTTTATGCGGCAGAATCGATCGTCCTGTGACACGAGGCGGATGCTCGAACAGCAGATGGTGGCAGCTGTTTAACAGAGCACGGGAATGGGACACAACAGAGTAATAAAATGAGCTGGATGGGCAGCAAGGGGAAGCTGAATGGGCAAATAAGTATTACAGACAAAACCAGGACTTACTTGAAAAAGTAACCTCGAAAGTAACCTTGCAAAAATTTTGCAGACAACGAATGAAATCATTCTTGAAATGTTGCCTCCCAGGTTATGAACATGTTTCAGATCTTTCTACACTGCTGAAATGGCTGCTTACTCTTTACTCTTGTTCTGGATTCATTTCCCCTTTCCCCCTCCCCTCTCTGCTTCCCACTTACCCTTGGAATGGCTCACACCCAACAGTGTGTGCTATGGGTTACAAAGTAACTGCATGGAACAGGTTGTGGCACAAATTTGGACGCCAATATTGTGGGCAAAACACCCCAAAGTTCCTCTTTAGGCAGTACAGAAAGCAACCTTTAAACTCCTCAGTTGCTCCTGCACGTCAACATGGCAAAAATTTGCTTTTTTCTCATCCCCTCCCTCTTCTGACACAACATCTGTGGCTCCATTTCAAAATTTTGAGGTAGCTCTGTAAGGCATGTATCAATCTTTGCTTTACACTTTGGTTTGTATTTGTACATATCTCCCACCATCTCTGTGACATCACCTATAAGCTCTCATCTGATCTCTGCTTCAGCAGAAACCTTGGTCCTCGTTTTTGTGTCCAGGTCCTCTCAGGTGGATTTCCAGAGCTTCCAGATCTGAGATGCAGCCTCTGAATTCCTCACGTGAGCTGGTGAAGGAAACTTGACTGCACCTGCCAATTTTACCTTGTTGTATCAAGTGCTTCAGTGCCCAGCTGGAAACAGCACAGCCTTCTTTCTCAATGACTCCACAGCTTTTCTTCTTTCTTTTTCTTTCCCCATTAGGCCATCAAAACACCAGTTTGAGTCCTCTGTTTCTTCATTTATGTGTGTTTACTGTTCATTTCCAGACACTGCCTTTTTAAAATCACATTTTGGGGGTATAGATTTTCCCTTCGAGGTACCTGTCTTCTAAAAAATGCTTCCTTATTGCTTCCACGCTCATAATTTTCTCATTTAATCTCAATTTTTTTCCTGAAAGGCTCACTTTTTCCTCCTTTCCTAAGTAATTTTACTTCTTCCTACTGCTAGTTTTGCTAAATTCTCAACTTAGGATCTATATAATGGGACAGAGAAACTGATGTGCTCTCAGTGGTTTCAAATTATTTTGGGAAATGATGGGAAAAGAGGCTGCGTAGGATAACTGCAGGAATCAGCCATCGATCCCATAGGTCAGATTCAGGTACGAATCAAAAGGAAACACTACTGGAGACAAACAAATACTCCTAGGAGTTGTGTTATTGCATAAGACAAACATCCCAGCTACAGATTTGCAAACAACCAGTCCTAATCACAGACCTAAACAGGAGCCAGTTATTTCCTTTGGTCACAGAGGACAAATAAATTCAGTTGTCAGTGAACCAACAGGATGTAAGGTTATTTTAGATTTGTTTTTGGTAACCAAGGAGAACAGTACAGAAAAGGCAATTAGAAAAATAATACTGGGATGCATGATTAAACTCAGGGAAGGGATCCTACAAAGACAACACACGTGCAAAGGGATGGTGGCTAGAACAGCAGCAGTCATAAAAAAATGAAAGATAAAAGAGGAAGAGTCTTTCTTGACAGTCTAGTCAAGGAAGAGTTTCATCACAGAGGTCAAAAATTGTAAGTATGAACTGCTAGAATTCAGGTTAGAGAGGATATTAAGCCAAGCACAAAGAGGTAAGACAAGGTCAAAAGAAGATGGGGATTTTCTTCAGTGAAGACAAAAAAGGGACTAAAGACAATCTAGTAAATCCAAAACCAATACCAAGTCTTCAGTTTAGTGAAGTCCTGTGTTTTAAAACTCTTTATATTGTTTTTACAACAGAATTATTACGGATCTGTGAGAGCTTGAACATGCTCTTCCTTAAAACATCCAGTCTCAAGCAAGAGTTGCTCACACATTTCACTACAGCTGAAGGCATAGCATAGGAAGGTGCACTAATTTCACTGATTCCAGCAGTAGCACAATATGGCTAAAAGAGAAACTAAATTCTTTCTGCCTGACTTTGCAGGCACATGGAACTGGAAAAGAAAAAAAAGTAACTGTTTTTAGTGTTATTTCTATCTACTCTACCCTTCAAGGGGGCATCTCATTAAGGTTTAATACAGTTTAGTTTAGATGATTTTGTATTATTCAAGTGCTCTATAACCAAATTTTGTTCCTGTATGAATGAAAGTGGGCTGTCCAGTTGCAGAGAGAGGCTTCATTTACAAAGGTTTTCCTCAATCCTTTGCTAAATGGGAAGAAATAGAAATAGTGGGTTTCTGATAGTTAGGAAATTACAATAGTTGCTCTTGCTAAAGGTTCACTCCCTTTTCTTTACTATTCAACTCTTTTTCCTTAAAAAAACACAAATGTAATGCCAAAAGGTACACGATTGAGAAGTTACTTTTATCAGCACAGACCAAGCAAGAACACATTTTCACTTGCAATTACAATTGGGAAACCTTGCCTGCAAATGGCAAAAGGGGGGCAAACTGCAATTGCAGTAGTATCTCATGAAGACTGTTAATTCAATAGACTACAGATGGTTTCATTTTGCTGTTCCCTCCTGAATGGAGACTCATCCCCTCAAGTGTGTCAGAGCTCCTGACTGATCCTGGCAGAGGGTGCGAAGCGATCCCGCTCTCCCAGCTCACACTGTGTTCAACTGGCATCCTGAAAAATAGACCCATCCACTCTGGAATAGCCCTGCTGGTTCCAAAAGGACAGACTGCTTTGCATGGACTATTTGCCCACAAGTTACCCACATTTCTACTGACTAGCAGTCCTACGTGTTTCTTTGATAGGTGGATAGGCCACTTGCTTATAAAAGTTATGCTTATTGCCAGATAAGATTAAAGATATGATGGGTTAAGTTTTATTGTGTCAAATTTAAGGATTAAATACAGGCTAGGTTACTTAAAAATGCTGCTGTTATGAGAACTGAGAACCAGTTTGTGCATTCCCAATATCCAACTCCAGCTCTGAATCTTAGGCTAGGAAAACTTGTCAGGTTTCCCTCTCCAGGTCTTGACGTTTTTATGTATTAGCAAATCAAATTTATCCCAGTCTATTTGATTGCTTTCCAGAATTAAACAGACACTCCCCACACTGTGACCGTGGGATCCCGTTCTTAAACCATCTTCTACCTGCAGGGTGTTGTGGGAAGATCAGAAACCTGAATCTGTGGTCTCAGTCATTACACATCCACCTCAGTTTACTCTTGAGGACATACAAATGCAGCCACCAGATCACCCACCTCTTCCATGTCCTAAACAAGGCTACAAGAACTCCCTGTGTGGAGGTGAGGGGACCTGTGCAAGTCGACAGCTTGGTGACGTGAAGCTGATCTTCAGGAGAACACCAAACAGAGTAGGCAGTGATATTGTACAGCAGGGCTCTTGGCCTGTTTTCCATCATAATACTCTGATTCCTTAATCAATAAAGAGCTTCTCCAGTTAATTCACAGCCTAACTCAGCTGGTTTGACTAGTTATAGCACCTTAAATGTTATCTCTCAAAAAAAAATAAAAAATTATCAGTTACACAAAGGTCTTTGTCACCTCAGAAATATCAGCCTACATTCACAGACACCATGGGTGATATTGGTACATGTAAGGGACAAGTGATGATTGCAGAGCTGTGTCTCACGAGAAATTTTGGAGGACTCTGGCCCACATCAACGTCTGGATCTCAGCCTGCCCAACTCTGCCTGCTCTGTTCTCACTCCTAAAACCACCTCCCGAATTCATCCACAATTTTTGCAAAGAACACATCAATGTGTGCGAAGAACGAAGCAGACCAACAGAAAGCCTGCAGCTTTCTTAAGCTATTCCAGAGAAATTGCACAACTATATGCAATCATAAATTCATGTCATTAAATGTATTATGGCTTAAATGGCCACTCTGAGATCATGAATATACTCAGGTTGCACACACAACTGTATATGCAAATCAAGCACATAATTGCACTCCTGATGATGGAGCTGGGCCCTGGCCTTCCAAAAGCTGGACCTAAACGTAGATCAGGCTTGAACATTCTTTGTTAGTCCAGCTGAGATAACACTATGTAAATTCACTTGGAACAAGGACAGATTCCGCATTTGGACGCACGTCCACATCTTCCCTTGGTTCTAGTAGGAGCTTTTAGCAAATCTGGGAACAGGGATTTATCCTATATAGAGCAGGATTATGATCTTTTTGATCCTTGCTAGAGCAGTTCCAGCTGGGAGAATCGAGCTTGCTTACACAGGATGGTATTTAGTTGAAAGCTGGTAAAAAGAGATTATCTTGTAGCTTTTTAGCTATCTTGTCCTTTTTCTCCTATGGTGACTCCAAAGGAAAGTTCCATCAGCTGTTCTGACTGTTAGGAATTCTCCCATCCCTGTGCAGTAACAGCTCTGAAGTTCTCAGGGAGGAGGGTAAATATCAATTAACTTGAGTAACCCCCGGCAACCACAGTGGCCAGGGGCTGCTAAAAACAGAGGAACAAGAAAACATAAAAATTGGGAATACTTTGTATTGCAAAGTGCTCCTGGGACCAGCAGAAACAATCCTCCAGCTATGGTAACGAACACTTATTTACATCAAGACAAGATCCAGTTGCAGACTGAGCTTCCCTGAACAGCCTGTCAGGTACAAAGCAAGGCACCTCAGAGATCTCCAAGCACTCCTAAAGACAGATGCCATTAGAACAGCATTCTGCAACTTCCTCTGACTTCCACAGGCATTGTCCTTTGCAACAAAAGAAAGGAACTGGACCAGCAAATTTGATATCCTTGGAAAATGCTCTCTGATCAGGCACGTTGGTAATAAAAGTCCTTAAAATATCGGAATTGGTGAATGAGCGAAGCAGAAGTCTGGTTGTGCATCTCAGACAGAGAATTTCATCAACAACTTCGCTTGCTTTCTAATTATGTAGCAGAAAATCAGGTGAGCACTTAGAAGGGAGGTAAGAAAAATGAAAATGCAGAGAGGGAACAGAATAAAAGAAAGTGAGGGAAGAAGACAAATGGATGCAAAGAATGAAAGGGAGTAAAAGGCTCAAGAAGAAACTAAACAAATAAAATAGCTGGAGAGGAGCAAAAGGACCAACAGCAGCTTGGAACAAGGATTCTACAAAGGAGTAGGAAGTAGGGAAGCTTGAAGATGGAAGAAGTAGAGTGCAATGGTCTTTAGGGCTTTAGTTTCCTCATCTATTGTTACTCATTTTCAGTCCTTATTTTTGTCGTGCATCTCCCAAGAAAAATGAGAGGTCACTGGTTTCTTTGAATCCTTTCTCCTTTCTTCTGAAGGGAAAATGAAAAAAAAAATCCAAACAAAATCAGCGTAATTAATCAGGTTTTCTTCAACATTCATAGGGAGTTGACTATCATGAATGGATGTTCTAAGCCACCTTCCCACATTTCTAATACTCCTGTGCAAACCCCCAGTTTGTGCATTAGAATTTGTTAATATAAATCATAAGCGACAGAGGCAGGCTGGACCTTGCATGTGCAAAAGACACAAGGTTCAATTTAATAAGCATTTACCAGGAAACTTTGCCCTCAGGTGTTTTTAAGCAGGTTCAAACCCATATTCTTTCTCTGTGGGAAAACCACCTAGAACAGTATTTTTTGTAGGAATGCCCCGAGTCCTGGGAGTGGAGCATGCACAGAAAACTTTGTGGGCCTTAATGGCCCATAGATATTAAGAATAAATCATGAATGTTATCAAAAGTCCCTTGAAATGGGACCCCAGGAAAACAGTCAGCTCTCCTCCCAGGCTAGGTAGAAACAGAAAAAAAACGCCCTGAAATGCGTAAGAGTCAGAAGGGAAAAAAGGAGAGAGACGTGACGTCAATGAGGAGAGTAATTAATTCACTGGAATGTTTGGATGTTGATGAGAAGCTGGAATTTCCACGCTAGCAAAGAGCCAGGAACAATCTCTACTGTAGGTGCCTAAACTGAATTGCCTTATACACCTGGCAAGGTTAGCAGCCATCTAAGGGCTATCCAAAATCACTGAAAACTGTCAGAACTGTGAATTTCTTGGGGTTTTAGGCATCCCAAAATATCAGGGAATTAACATTTTAAAAAGTGAAGTAATTTTTTTAAGTTCTGATTTGAAATGAGAAGCCCAATCAAAAAATGTTGCTTTTTCTCCTCCAAAAGCTCAAGCTAATTGATTTTCTTTGACGTAACTTTTATTCACGGTATTAGTACTGATAATATGGGAGCCTCCCATCAATTTCTGTTTTTACAGAAATTTTTCTATGCAGTTCTAAACATCTGCATCCCCACCTAACAAAAGCATGAATGCAGCCTGGCTTAAATTTAGGTTTTGGTGAGCGAGATGGTATTTTGGGTTTTTGAGAAGTTGTATGACTCTTATGTTGAATCCCTAAGGGAGCACAGGTATAATAACCAAATTTGTATGCAGCAGCACAAAGATGAAGATGGATGGTTGAGTTTCTGAGGAGCCAACCCAGAAGAAAAGTTCTCTCTTACGAAAATACAGGAGAAAAAGAGGAAAAACAAACAAACAAACAAAAGGTTTGTATCCACAACCACCCAGTTTTTCAATGTTTATCCACAACCCTAATTTTTCAGAAAACCCTGTGGCTCTCAGGTTTGTTGGCCCAGTTGAAAAGGAATCAGTGATAAACAGGCTAAATTAAACACATCAGAGATTTAACCCTCTAGAACGCTCTCTAAATGAGGCACATAACTAATTCATGGTGTGCAGCACACAAGCTGACAGGCTCTGTGCACATGAGAAAATCCTCTAATTCTTCAGGTTTTTCTTCACAAAGAGCTTGCCTAGAAAAAAAAAAAAAAACCAAACCAGCATTTTTCCTATATCCCTGAATAAATACATAGAGGAAGTAATTCATGTGCCAGATTGCACAATACACAGCATGGTATGAGTGGGTTCCTTCAGCAAAGGAAGGAAAGGTTTAAGCTGCATTTTACACTTTATTAGTGCATGGTATGATAGATCAATTCTTCTCACCCCTAAAAACTTTATTTTTAAATTATATTTTAACTCACTTAGCTGTATCTGGAGCTATTCTTTCTGAGGAGTCTAAAATGGTTTCTCCCTCTTCTGGCAGAGTTCACTTGATTCATCTCTGCCTGTTTTTCTCCAGGTTGTTGTACATTCCTTCTGAGCACTCCTCAGCGATAACAGTGTTTGCTGTTGTTTGGAAAGGTTTATTGGTATTTTTGTCTCCCTCAGATTGTTCTTGAAGGTACTAAACAAACAAGTGATGCCCAACACCAGCCTTGCAGAACCCAAATAAACTCGTTATTAAAAGTAGAGGCAATGCTGTTGATATCAACAATCTGTCATCCCCTAAGCTGTGCTTTTCTTACAGAACAGTCTGCCAGGGTTGGATGTTTTGGTGGGATTTTGTTGGGGCAAGAGGAGGGCAGGTGGGTGTTACTGTGCTTTTCAGGGTACCTCAACAGAACTGCAAAAATCATTAAGAAAAGCACTGGGCAACAGTTAACTAAGGGCATTAATTGTCTGATGGAGAAGCTGAAACACATGGAAAGGTCAGGGCACTGAGAGACAAAAGCAGATACAGCTCAAAATGAGGCAACAGGACCTACCTCTGTGATCAGTCTAGCAGCTGGTTTTGAACAAGTGACATTTCTGAGAGGTGCGTCACAAAAAAATATCCACTTTCGGTATTTTAACAATTTGGAGACATGAGTCACAAATAGTACAAATTAAAAAGAAGGAATAAGGTGAATGCTGCAGATGCTCAAGAAAAGCATAATATCCCTGCTTTTTGCACTTACTTTACTCAGAATTTGTAACTAAAACCAATCCTTGTCTGCTACTGCAACCAAAATTGCTTTCCATCTGCTGCAAGGTTATCAGAACACGCACTTTTTCCAGTTCCCAATTTTCTTTGTACACAGGAGGTGCAAAAGCAATTTCGTTTCGTTAAGGATTCTTATAAAAGGCTTACATATTGAAAACTCAAAATCAAGAAAAAAAAAAGAGACAATAAATAACATGTAAGAAATCTGTAATTGAACAAGTAAAGACACGGGAAATAATATCAGCATCCAAGGACAGCATGAAGTAGCAGCAATAATAATAAACAATAATAACAACAAAGACAGAGAAACACAAGACCACCGTTACCTTGAATTCTTTTTCAATGTTGGCCAACTTGGCAAGTTCATTGCTGAGTTCTAGAGCAGTGAGTACTGGATCTTCACTGGAGAGGGACAGATAAGCCGGGCTCGCCAGTCCCTTGTATGCATTTATTCTCGACCTAGAGTGGCTGAAAGAATCGTGTTTTTGCTTCTCCGTGCAGTCATTGCACTTGCAGAAATAATCGTGAGGTCTTTCTATCCTCGCTCCTTTCATCAGCAGCATGTGCACGACTTCGTATTTTTGGCAGTGGGCAGCTAAAATGATGGGAGTGATGTCCGGAGAGAAGCGGGTCCCGTCTTCGTCGTAGGAATAAAAATCATCATCCTGGAGCTCCTGCTCGCAAGGGCTCAGAGTCAGTCGCTTGTTTACCGAAAAGCCAGGATGATTCAGGATGGCTTCCACTATCCTGATGTAGCCCTTGCTGATGGCGAGCAGCAGGGCGTCTCCAATCCGTGCCAAGTTCTCTTTTTTTAACAGCAGCTCCGTCACCTCCAAATGTTCGTTCCCCACAGCGAGCTGCAAGGCGTTTTGGCCCATGTAGTCCACGCAGTTGACGTTGAGGGTTTTGGACTCCTCCAGCATTTTGCGCACCACGGGGATGTTGCCGTACTCGGCCGCGTCCAGGAAACGCTCCTCCTCGGCCGTCAGGCTGGTGCCCCTGTTGTTGAACATGAAGGCCGGGCCTCGGATGGCCTGGCGCCTTCCCTTCTCCCTCATCATGGTCATGCGTCTCAGGGATGGGCTTTCCTCGATGTACCTAATGGAAAAAAAAAAACCAAACCAAACCAAAAAGTAGCAGAAATTCATTGTGTTGGTTTTTTGCAGCTTCCACTTCGCCTGTGGCTAAAACAGCGACAAGTTATTTTGGCCCTTGTCATTTTCCCATCTATTGACAACCGGTGTCCTGTCCTGTGATCGCTCTGCCTTCATTCTTGCTTGTCTGCAACCTGCAGGTTCAGTGCCACGGGCTATTTGTGTTTTCCCAGCATGGTCAAAATTTATTAATGTTTTTTATTTTATATAAGACATCACCTGTCTTCAGAAACCCCTCTCAGCTCACTTAGTGCTTGTATAAAATGAAAGCACATCTACTACACTACTTTCAGTAGTCATTAAAAACTATCCATCACAGGCATTCAAGCTGATGGTAAAAGGAAGGCAACATTTGTGCTTACTATATGGTAGATCACACAAAAGGGAGGTGAAAACCCATTTTCTTCACGATGTCTTGCCAAGCAACACATAATGAAGCTGATTCTCACACCTACTGTTACTCCTAGAAACATTAAACCTGGAAGCTTCTACTCACAAGTCCATTTGATCAAATCACAAGCCTTTGAAAAACAACAGTACATAAACATTCAGCAGACTTTCTAACTAGCTGCTCACAGATTCCTGACACCAGGAGTCACCCAGTATAGACTGGGAGCAGCTCTCACTCCACTTGGGACTCCTGCAAGGCCGTGCATTTTGTTCATCCTGGTTCTACATCTACCATTCCAGGAGCTGAGAGAAAGGAGATAGTCAAAATCATGTAATGAGTGTGTATTTATATTTATATTATTTACATGTATATATGTATATATAATATATATATATTTATATATGTATATATTTATGTATATATGTATTTATCTGTTAGTTATCAAAGCTCCCATGCCTTCTTGCAATATAACCAAGAAAAATGGGAAAGTCAGAGAGCTAATGAATGAAAATAAAAATTGGGACAACAGGTTGCACTGAAAAGAGAAAACCTGAGTGCAGGTAAGTCAGTTGTTTAGGAAATGACACTGAGAACCAGGGAGCCTGTGAACTCTCTGCAAAAAATGGATGCAAAGAAAAGAGAAGGGGAACAGGAGAAACTAAAGGGTGAGCAAGCTAATTTGGAAAACACAGACACTGGAACTATGAAGCAGTGAAGGTACTGGCTGAGAGCAGTGGGGAGCAAACAGGGCTGAGAGAACAGGCAGATGGGGATGCTGAGCTGGATCTGGGTAGGTAAGGAAGCTAGAGGCAGGACTGGAGGTTCAGAGCACAGGAATTCCAATAGGAATTACAAAGAAAACGGGCTTAAGGATGAGAGGTTGAGGAGCAGACGCTGCCCAACTGGAGAAAACAACAACAGGAAACAACTGCCTGGCAAGGTCTGAAACAACAGAATAGATGGGACCAGGCTGAAGAGGTCACAGCTGGGGGAAGAACAGAAGCATTTACACCTGCCAGAGCAGAGGCCAAAGGCCTGGAAAGGCGCTCAGGATACTGTAACCTCGCTTCACCACCACCTGCAAACAAATGTGAAACCCATCAGCAACTTCCCTCTGCTTTCCAGTGCAGCTCAGTACTGAGAAAGACAGTCCCCATCTGCTATCAGCTAATCCACTGACACACATCCCTATCCAGGGAGAGGGATCACCTGAGATGATTTGATGGGCACAGGGACACCAAGTGCAGCTGATAAACAATGTAAGAGTCAAAGGAGGGTGTGCTTTGAATATACATAACTATATAAATATATATATATGCTACATAGGGACAAACAGGCCTTATCATTCCAAATTTGGCCCTGAAGTCCCACGTGCCTCTGTTTTTCTAAAGATGAGAAAGAACAGTTGGCTTCTATTTTGCAGGAGCATTGTGTAAATTAATTTATTCACTTTGGTGAAAAACTCAGATACAGGAGTAAAAGGCCAGACAGCAAAACCGAAGAGGAAATTAATCCTTCTACCCTCAGTGCATGAGAAGAGATATGGGTCCGTGTAGTGAATGCTGAGGGCAAACCAAAATATTGAAGTTGCCCTTTGCAAGCAAACCCCGTCAGAACCAAGGGAAAAATGCCACGTGCCCCTCTGGGCACACAAAGATTACCCACTGAAGTGGGCAGAGCGGAACCTGCGTGGGCAGCTGCAAAAGCTAAATATCCTGATGACTTCATACCCACAGCCAGAGGAACAGCCTCCTAAATGCTGCTGGGGGTTGCCTTTTTGTGGGTGTGATCTTTCAGCAGGGAGCTTCACCCAAAATACAACCTCTCGACATCACTGCGTGCAGCAACGTCAGCCCTAAGAGTTTTCATTGGGCATAACTAATTCCATTCAGGTTGGGAGAATATCTCTGGCCTTCCAGCTATCTGCATCAGCTGCAATAAATTCAGCAAAATGTAAAACCTTAATCACTTTATCACAGCTACAAATATCCCTAAAACCTAGTTAAACAAAGGGGCAGCTCCGCTGCACACCAAGTGAAGAGACTGTGATGCTCATTATCAAGGGCAGGTCTCTCCTGAGATGAAGCATTTGATTTTTTACATTTTCAGCTGCGGTTGGTATTTCTGGACTGCCTGAAATGGCCTGAGTGGCACTGCAGTACAAGCAATGCTAACTGCTATTTTACTTTTTGAAATACGTGGCAAAACTGCTTTGGCAGATGTGACAAGATCCTTTTTTTTTTTTTTTCTCTCCCTCCTGTACCACTTTCTTTAAATCTGTCAAAAAGGCAGCATGACAGAGAGGATTTGTGACTCTTGAACACAGAACTGATTTAATGTCTTAAAGCTCAGGCGTATTTCCAGTTTAGGAGGACTCAGAGAAAGATTTGAGTGTACATGGTGAACAGCCACACTGTGCTATTACCTTATTCCACAACAAAATCTGAAGTAAAATCTCTTTTTTTTATTTTCCTCATAGTTTTCTTTTTAACAAGATCTTATTGCCTGCTATGCTGTTACATTTCTATTCTTCCTCCACATCCAAAACCATACAGGAATAGAAATGTAGTTGTTTACTGCGATGTTACGAAGAAAAAAATTAAAAATGTAAAAAAAGACAAATTGACTCATGCTCACTTCTTGATTTAAAACTCTAAACTGCCACTCTCAATCTCATTTATCTTTCATGAAATACATAACAATAGATTTCCCCCTATATATTGTGTTTAATTTTTCAGCATGTTTGGAAATAAGACATTTATTTTCATTCTATCTACCTTTCTTTCAAAACCCACTGTCAGACTGAGATGATTCATCTGCCTTCCATACAGAGAGATATATCCTTTCCAAAGTGTTCTATTAGAGTATCTTCCCAGTAAGGAAGATATCCTTAACTATCAATCTTGTGGCAGAAATGATATATTTGAAGTGACTGCAACAGCTTCTCAAAGTCAAGATGAACGTCACTTGGTATTTCAATGACTAAATATTGTCAAGACATCCCCCCCCCCCAAAAAAAAAAAAAAGGCAAAAAATCTTGTACAGCACCACACAGCCAGAAGGCTTTTGGGCTCATCCACACCTCTCTGCTCTCTTCTTCCACTTTTCCCTCAGCAAATGTATTTCATTTTAAGTGTTTAACCCTTTTCAGCGAATTTTATACGTAATATTTGCCAACTGAAATAATCAACCCGACCAAATCTCAAGTTGGGTCTCTAAATATCATTAGACCGGCTTAAAAATAAGATTAAAATAAAACTAAGTGTGCATTAATTACTTGTGTTCTATTTCCAAAGCCTTTAAAGTTCACATTCTCAACCCTGTCTTCTGTAAGGAGCTGACAAGGGACATTAAAGGAAGGAAGGAGAGATGGAAATCATGATCCTTCTCTTCCCAGCTGTTCCAAAAAGTTGAAAAAACACACAAACAAACAAAATATCTGTAGAATGCATGGCCAAAGCCCCACAAAAACTGCCCAGTTATTTTATTTTAATTATTCATTAGAGATAAAGAAGGATGGAATTGGAGTCATGTTAAGTGACATACACCTGTTTGACCACATCTGGGCATGTTTTACTTGGATTTATTTCCCCAGGTAAATAATAGGACACAAAGAACCATCCTACATTAAAACATGTTTCTGTTTACCTTAAATATTTTCATAAAAAATTACTTTAACAAATTTTCCACCAAACAAGCAGTGCCACATACAGGGCAAGATATTTGAGCAACACAGCCACTGCAAAAGGCTGGAGAAATTGTGATCTTCCATGGGCTGTTTCCATGACAGAATCCTTCTCTGTTCCCTACCTACCCCTTTTCACATTCCAACTTCTAGGACCGCAGCAGAACAGAAAAGTGGGACAAACAGATGACACAAGAATTCCTTACTCCTTATCCTGCTCATTCTCTCATCTACAGCAATCCTGAAGATTTATGACCTTGTTTCTATGTCTACTCTTTGAACGCTGCAAACCACAGGAGCAATTTTAAAAGAAAAGGAGAGTAGCTGGAGAAACAGGAGGGTTCATTCTGGGCCTTCTCAGATCCATAGAGCAATTTTCCAACATTTGTGCTGAAGAACAGGCTGTTATTCTCCCTGAACTATTAAATGCAACAAAAGGTGGCATCAACAATTTACCAGCCATTTACCCCACTGCTGAACTACAGTACATTAGTGATCCTGATTCTATTCTAGCCCTGAAAAGGAAATGCAGTCCAGTGATTACAGACAGATCAGATAAGTCCATCATGCCCACAGCGCTTAAAAGCAACACCACCAGAGTCAGCCACAAAGGAGATGAAAATTGTGCCTCTTGCTCTGCTAAAAGTAACCTCTACGGCCCCGGTTTTAAAATTAAAGATGATAATTGCCCCAAAAAGCAAGTGCTCAGACATGCACATACGGAAGAGCAGCACTGTAGGGCCTGACGCCCGAGATCTCTTAAACTCAGCGATCTCAAATGTCTTGTTGCTCTCTCAGGAAAAGACTGTGCTGTTCCATGTGAGGAAGCAGCTCCTTGCTTAGTGCAAGGCCACAGGCCGTGTTGGAGGGACAATCCCCCAGCCTTATTCCCTCTCCCAGACAAAGGCTTTCCCATCCCTTCCCAAGCTCTGCTACAGCCCTGTGCCAGAAGAGGCCGCTGGTTAAACTTGTTTTTTCCACCAGTAAAAAACGGTGTCACCTTCATATCTGTTTGCACGGAAGCTTGCACACGTTCCACACAATTTGGGAGTCCCTGCAGCAAATCCAAAATGCATTAAATGAGAGGTCCCTTCTCCCTTCTGTGAGCCACTGCCTGGGCTTGCCAGAAGAGGGAGGTGAATTGAGCTGAACGGCAGAACATAAATCAGGCCAGCTGCAAGATCTGACTGAGGTCTGTACTCTCCCACTGGTCTGAAACGACACAATCCATCATCCAAAATGCCCTCGTGTCAGCTCACAGAAGTTCTGGCTCCAAAATGGAAAGAATTAGTAAAAAAAAAAAATGGAACAAAATACAGTGAGATATCAGGAGGAGGTGTACACACACTTAGCTCGTTCCATCCCCTCCCGCCCCACAAACTACGCAGAGCTTTTTCCTACCATTACTCTTCACTAAGTCCTTAAGGGAAAATACCATCCATCTGAATTCCTGTGGGAAAACAGGACTAGATCTTGATGACAGGAGGGCATCTATATATCCACAGAGAACAAGGAAAATATCTCACCAGGAAAGAACCAAGTTAACAGGGCTGCAGCAACAAAGAACTTTGAAAGCTCCTTTGGAACTCAGTCCTTTATTTGTGTTCTGTTGTTCCAGTCACAAAACTCTGCTGTGATTTTCAGGGATACTCAGGAAAGCAGGCATCCAATGCCTATAACATTTCATTTACAGGTTTCATCCACTTTTTTTTTTTTTTCCCACTGGGACATATAGTACCTTGTGAAACAAGGAAACAAGTCTTACATCCAGTCTGCAATCTTAGTGGGAATCTCAGGTTAATTACTTTTTTCCAGCAATATTTGGCACAGGAGGGAGCCAGCTGTGCACTGGCAGGTACCATGCACAAGTTGCAGCTTCCAGAAGACATTTCAAACACCAACCAAGTCCATCCTCTTGTGCAAACTACGTCACATCTTCCTGCCTCTTTCCCCTCGCACCTTGTACTGAACATTTAGACTACAAATTCTTCCAGCCAAGGATTCTCACAGTCTCCTTGTGCACACTGAAGTCTTCCGTGTGCCAATATGAGTGCATTTTGAGCCAGCTGATACTCAGAAATAAACTCATTTTTATTTCATTAGGATACCCTCTGATTTTAGGCATTAGCACCAAACAGAAAACATTACCCCAGGAGAAAAATCCCCCTGCCATGCCGAGGATGACCACTGGCACATCACAGGGAAAATGGTAGTTCTGGGTCTCTACCTCTGTGCCCCAAGAGTTCAACACACTCCTGCTCCATAAATCAATGTCAGCCCCTCTGCCAGTCCATCTGAAGCACTGCTCTAACAGACTCCCAGCATAGGACCACAAGAGTCACACACCAGGCAGGAATTCCAAGAGATGGAGCTCACTCCAGGCTCAAATACCTACAGCTGTGTGAAGTGAATTCCAGTTTGATCCCCTGGTGGCACAACACCCATTTCTTATAGAAAAGGAGCATGCCAACCGTTCTAGAAGGACACTAGGGATCCACAAGGTTAGGAACTCATAGCTTATAATTCATCTGAGCTAGCTTCAACTGTCTAAAAATAAAGTGTCCAAGTCTAAACTAATCCTCCAGGCTCTTTTTATGGTGGATAAAGACAGGCACCTCAAGAAAGAAGATGAATGACTATGCTGCCTTTCCCACTGCTATTTCCTCTCCCATTCCATCAACTATAAGGGAGCCTAGACAAGCAACTCAAGCACAGCTAAGTTTCTGACAGGTAAAGGCACATGAAAGGGCAGTTCACTTTAAGTCCAGATTGCTGGGCACAGGGTATTTGTGAAGAATTTCCCCACTGGGATGGTAAAATTCACTTTTATTTGTGATTATCCTATTGTATGCACTACCCTAATTATTTCTGTACTTTACAGTTGTCCCTAGGGTGATTTTAATTAAGGCTTCTTCTATATAAATGCTGAATATCTTATCTTAAAACTCAGCACGTTTGCTATCTGGCAATTAAAGTATTTAATTAAAAACTAAATATTGTCCTGAAAGCATAAAACACTCAAGTAATCCTCAGATGTTAGTCTATCTAAACTGCAGCGTGTTATAAAAATAAGTGAATAATTCATGGACAACCTACATTTTGCAAGTCAAGGGAAAGAAAGTTAACATCCCTACTAGAGAAATTGAATATACTTGTCTTGCAGTAACTCTAGTCACAGTCAGGATCTTTATTTGTTTATATATATATTTACGTATATACACGACTGCATCTGTGTAAATAAACTTAAATTTTGGAAGAGCACATCAAACAGGATAAACCAGGATAAGATGCATCTCAAGAACCAAGGATTTTCTGCACAGGTGTCCTAGATTTCCGTGGGGAATCTGGCTTTACCACAGCACAGACTTACAACAAATACACAGATATAAAAGGGATGCATTAGCACTGCGAGTACCAAAGGCTGCAACGGGTTCGCTAAACCTCAGCTGAACCAATAATGAGGCATTTCTGGCGGCTACACTTGTATCCAGGGGAGGGAAGGGGGGAAAGGGGAGAAAAGAAAGAGATGGGATCTCTTGCGCCCCGACACACGGGGCAAAGGCAAAGCCGAGGGGCTGGGCAGGGGCGCCGAGGGCAGGCAGGGAGCGGGCGATGCCCTGAGGGCACTTTTCCCGGGGCGCCGGCGGTCGGACGGCGCGGTCCAGCCCCTCTCCCGGCCCCGAGCGCCGCAACTTCCCGGGAGCCGCATCCCGCTCCGGGGAAGTTGTCGGCCGGCACCCTCCGAACACTCACCCCCCACACACACCCCGGGCCCCACTTACATGGTGCTGGCAAAAGGGGGGGGCGGGTAGTAGCCGTAGGGCTCCCGGAGGGTTTTGACGGCCCTTTGGGGTGGCGGAGGGGGCTCCGGCCCCCCATTGACGCCTCTCCAGCCGCGGCGCCGGCGCTGCTGCTCCTCTTCCTCTGCCCCCTCCTCCTCCTCCTCCTGCTGCGGGGGGAAGGTCACTCTCCCCTGCTCCTTGCTCTTCCTGCTCTTGCTCGACATGGTCAGGGTCCCCTCAGGCGGCGGTGCTGGCGGCGGCTGCTCCCGCTCCCGGCCGGCCTCGTCCTGCGGCGTGTGCGAAGGGGAAGGAGGCGGGAGACAGAGGAGGAGGAGGAGGAAGAGGCAAGCCCTGCCCGGCGGGGGACAGAGCACCTGGAGAGGACAAACCCCTCGCCACAGAGCCGCGGCCGCCCCTCCGCCCCGCGTCCCCGCCGCCCGTGGGGAAGGCGGCGCGATGCGCAGCCCGGCAGCGGGAGCCGGGAAGTGCCGGGGAGGCGAGCGAGACACAGGGCTCCCGGCGGCGGCGGCAGCTCTGCCCCGCTCCTCCTCTCCCTGTCATCATCCCTCGCTAGGACAGCATCGTCACGGAGGCAGCGGGGCCGGGGACGGCACAGCCGCCTCCCGCAGCGGGCGCTCGGGAGAGGAGGGGACGCCCACAGCCCACCTCCATCACGGCTCGGGGCGGGGGGGGCGTGAGGGGGAGGCGCGTTATCCCGGGACCGCTACAAATGTGCCTCAGCCGCCCCCGCCTTCCCGCCCACCTGAGGCGCGTCCTTTTCCCGCCACGCCCGGGGCTCCAGGTGTTGGCGTTGCTGATGAGGGGAGCCCTCAGGATGTTCCCGCCCGCGGAGGGTCCCTGCAAAGCCGGCACCGAATCCCGAGGGAGCCGGGGATGCTCGGCTCCGGTAACAACGTGAGGCGATGGGCTGCCGGCAGCAAGGTAATTTTTATTAAAACGGCCCAAAAACTGTGCCCAGCCCGATCAAACCCTCACAAAGCTCGGTCGTTACTTAGAGAAATACTCAGCCCCACAGTGGAAACAGTTAAGTTGAAATTTTCAGGTAAAAAGAGACACTTTTGCCTGACTTACCGAGGGTAAAAGCGAGCCAAGGTTCCCAAGGTGTTCCAGATGTCTCTGCCTCAGACTTGACTGATTTGTGTGGTGCCAAGCTGGAAAACAGTGGGAGGATGCTGAGACACCCATGGCATGTAATCAGAGCTAATTATGCTCTATAGATACCAGTCACAAAGATTCCTGCTGTACAGAGATGTACTGCCTCTTTTTATGAGGGATTTTTGGTGTGTTATGCCATGGGAAAAATTGTTCTGTCACAAAACTGCAACCCTGTTAAAATCAAGGCAGAGCATGTGTGTTTTTATACCCAGAGCAGAACAGTAGGTACACACAGACTACATGTGTGAAGTTATATATGATAAAGATGTTTCTCTGTCTATGCACTGCTGAGAGCCCATTTTTCTCTTGCTTTAAACTTTTTTTGCAGCATTACATGTCTATCAGTATAAATTTGCATGAACCTGCACTCAAATTCTGTATTTGGGTCCTGCTGAAATTGATACCTGTCTGAGTTTTCGAATAGCTTCAGAGAAAGTGGGCTTTAAATCCACATATAGCTGATTAGATGGAATTCTCACCTGCAAGCATCACCAAGTCTCTTAGCATAATTAAATAATAACTCATTAGCTCACACTGCTATCAGTATCATCCGTGGTTTTATCTTTGTTGTTTCCCTGTGTACAAAAGTTGTCCTCATGAGACACAGGAAAAGCCGAACAAGAGTTTCACAGAGATAATTTACTCAGCTACAGCTTTGAAGAAAGAGTTGCGTTTTGTTGTTGTCAGTTTAATTAATTTGCATCTTGAACTGCTTGAGGAAGTGGCTCTTTATGTCTTTCATGCAAAAGCCCTTTGAGCTTCAGTGGAATTTTGTACATGATTGAGCAAATTTTACTCTCTAAGAAACCAGTATATTGTGTAGCTACTGTAACTTTGAAGTGCTTGGGGTTGTTCATTTAGGACAGTCTAGGTGTCTAATCTAATTATACACACTGTAGCAGTGTTACACATTTCAGAGCATAGCCATGCAGCAGTCTGCATCAAACCTTGCATTCCTGCAGGTTCCTTTGACTTAAAAAACGGTACTGCCCGTATCCTTTTTTTAAAAAAAATCTCCTGTTATTACAGTGGGCTACAGGAATGGACTTCCAATTGCCTTGAGAATTTCCCTGGAGAACAGAACATAGAAATACAGCTGAAAGCCGGTGAGAAATGCTCTTGCTTCCCAAATGCATGCTCAGAGCAGGGCTTCCACCTATCAAGGTTTATTTTCTTTCCAGAAGTAGACAGAAAAGGGGTTTAATATTGGCTCTTTGTTTTAAGAAAGTCACATTCTTACTTTTTCCATTGTGCTTCCCATCACTAATTTGAATTATGTGTTCTGTGGGCTGTGTTTTTCATAAATTGAGTGTTGTATTCTGTTATCCAAGTGTCTTGATAATACTTGACTTGGAAGTCATCCTTGCAAAAGCCTTCATGGTACATCCCTCCATTTCGAGGGGATGAAATCATAATCAAAATGATGATAACTCCCCTAGTAATTACAGTATATATTTCACGCCACAGAACTTTCACCTAAACTGTTTCTGTATTTCACTTCTGAGAATGCCCTGTGAGACAGTGGCAAAAAAACCTTATTAAAGTCATGGTATATATTCCTTTATCCTGCTCTTCCTGCTTTACTTGCAGGAAATTAGCAGAGGTCAGTTTTGGCCAGCACTTGTTTGCATTTGAACTCTACAGCAAAATAATAATAATAATAATGGAGACATTTTCCTGAGATCTGACCCGAAAAACAGCCAGGATGGCAACAAAACAATCCATTACAAATCTCAAATGAGCTTTTTATGGTTACAGCCTTAGACTTTTTCATATTTCTAGTTGAAATGGGCAGGGTAACAATCTCAGTTACTGTAAAATGGTGCCCAGAAAATTTTAGCCCAGTTTGAAGGATCGGGTTGCTACCAAAACACAGTATGGGAACAGGGCTTGGTCAATCTTTGATCAAACTTCAGCCATCACTGCCTTACCTGACAGTAAGAATTTAAAAATCATTGCTAATGCCAATTTCTAACGTGCCAGTGTTCCAAATCATTATTCTTCCCAAAAATATCTCGTGTATTGAAAGTATCAGATGTAGATGTCAACATATCCAAACTGCAGAAAAAGAGGGAGAAAGGATGAGTAGATTGGAAATACCAAGCAGAGCGATACAGGCTGTTGATTCAGGTGGTTAAAGACTCCACAGCCAAAGGCTGCCAACCTGGTACATTTTGTGAAAGCTGACTTGACTTTACAGGGTTTGGAAGTGATGTCATTTTAATTTTCAAAGCTGCTTCCTGGAAGTTGCTTGGACAGGAGTAAAAGAGTGAAAGGAATACTGCTTTGAGGACAGGGACTGAACAGAAAAGCCCAAAAGATTTACAGCAAAACAGTGAAACATAGCAGATATGGTACTGTATTACTGAAGGTGCTAGATTATTCATCCTCCTCTTTGTCTTTTAGAACATGGATTTAATGCCATAGCTGTCTTATGTTTGAGTTGGAATGGCAGTAAGATACAGTCCCTCATTTATTTTTTCACCAGACTGACTTGAACAAGACAGGGTGGAATTAGAGTGGAATAGGGTTTTGTTGACATGGATCAGCTACTCTCTGGCAGTATTTTTCTGTCCTCCTCAAAATTATGGGAATTAAGCAGTTCAGATTTTAAAATTTCTGTTGGCAGTATTCTTAAGCTGGAAGCGAGTGATCGAAAAATAGCTTTTCTAAACTGAAATAAAGTGCCTCTTCAGAAGACACAGCAACAAATTTCCTGGAAATATTGTCAAAAACATGAGTTCTATATTTCTCTCTCCCAATTTTCTCTCAGCATTTGGAATGAATGAAGTAAAGATCTGAAATATGAAAACAAATAGCACAGCTGGCATTCAGTGTAATAAAATATCAGGAAATATGTTCAGATTGTTAGATTGAACCAGCACAGCAGTAAGACCTTCCAGGTCTATGAGGCACCTAAAGGAGTGGATATGCACTTCAGGAAGGCTGGGAAAAGTGATGGGGGAAAAAGATAAGGGAATAAAATTATGCCCTGGGGTTTTCCTGCTCTGAGAGGTACATTAACAGTGTTAATTTGAAAATAAATCTAACCTGTTTGTTGGAAATTGGGTTGTCAACACTAAGACCTCCTGTTGAAACGAAGTGATTTAGAATTAAGATCCAGCAAGATCCAAGAAACTTCTAGTAACAACTTCTCTTGCAAGAGCAACTTGGTGTGTTATGTATGCCAAATTATTATTTTGCTGCTTTATTTAAAAAAAAAAATAAATAAAAAGGTAGGAGTATCTTCCCTCAAGAGACAAAACTGGTTTTTATTTGCTTGAAGTGACGGGTGACGAGAAGCAAAAAGACACTCCTGGTAATGCCAGAAATAGAATCCAGGTCGTGCAGTACATTGAACCCTTCTCGAAGTGTGTGTGCACTACTTTCATCAAAATTGGGAAGTTGGTGGGAATAGCAACAGTGTAATGAAAGCAAAATTGGCCTTCTTTGCCTCATACTGGGAATTTGCCTACTTGCCAAGAACCCAGTGTTTTCAAGGACGTTTAGCTCCTACATCAAGGACTTCTATGCAAGTCTAAACAGGTTAATCAGTGTGAAGAAAAGAGGGGTGATGTGATGTCACTGCTCTGTAAGCAGATCCCAGCCTCAGAACTAATATTATGCTTTCAAGGCTTTTCAAATGAGATGAAAAAGACACATTCCTGAGTCTCCAGCCTGTAATTCCAGGCACACTGTGCAGCCATTCAGGCCCATGTGAAGTGAGTGGGTACAAAATCACCTACTGCAAAGCAGGCCCTCGGAGCAGTGTGCTGCACTGGCATTATGTGGTCTACTTTGTGATGTTAAAAGGCTACTGCCAATGAAGCCATTAGGTAGACACTTAGCCACGTCTTCAAAGGGCTGCAAAACATCTACCAGGCAAAATGGACAAGTCCTCTTTCTTTTTGGCGTTAAGGGGCAACTATATGTGCATTTACATATTTGCATCTCTTAGTTCCTTTTTTTCCTGAGGAAACCAGGTGTGTCTTTTCACAAATCCAATGTCTCTGCAAGCGTTTGAGCTAATCCACAGGATCCTGAGCCTATTCCAATTAAGTTTTATTCCTTTCTTTTCACTCAGACCAGTGGAAATGAGAAGGTAACCAAACTGCCGCTAGGAAAGGGCCTGCAGAATCAATTCCCTTATCTCCACCTTGCCCTGGGGATTGTATGTAGCTCATAACCTTTAGAAAGTATACTTTTATAAGATTTGCTTATCACTTGGATTTTCTTCCTTCAGCTGGTTCCCATATCCCTGTATCAGTCAATACTGCCTGAAAATGTAACCGTGAACCTTCACCTATTGCTGAGTGCTGGGAACCGTGTGGTGAGTAAATTTATTGTCCCAACACACCATCTTGAACGAGTGACGTTTTCTTTTTGACAGTGGTTCAGATGTGGGTGGGTAAATGCAACGTGCCCTGCTGTCCCCTCGCTGGCTGATGGCAAAAATTATTGCATGGATACATCCAGTGCTCCAGT